ATATTAATTATTAACTATTCTTGATAACTAAATTAAATATATATGCATGGTCAAAACCTTGAGAGTTAACATGTTAAAGTGCAAATAAAAACTCTGTGACAAAATTTGAATAAATGAGTTCAGCTTACATTTGGTTGAATGGGGCATAGGATGCCTGACTTTGGTGAGAGCTTTTAGGACATGGTGTCATTGGAACATTCCTTTGAGCTAGGACTTTGCCCCCCTCTTTCTAGACAAATTTTCTTATTAAGCATTACCTTTCTATTCATGTTTAGAAAACCTTGTACTGAAAGCACCTTAATTCGATCTGTGTTGGTCTGTCTTAATCAGGTTATTTTAATCGGAGAGGCATCCTTGTATAGTAATTGTTGCATTTTTTTCTTCATTCTTTTTTCTTTTTTTCTTTTTCTCCTTTCACCTTTTGTACTGTTTTTGTGTTGTCTTCCTTTCTTTCAATCTCCATTGTTGAAGGCAATAGGGATCAAAATGAATTTTAGTTGACACTTGATTTCCGCCAGCTTGTTTACCCTTTTTTGGGCCATGCAGTAGCTTGTTTATTCAGTTACTGCTAAGCTAACAGTTTCTTGAACGAAAGTGTACCATCAAAACTTCAGGTGTATTTATTTTAACGCCTTGAAAATAAAATATTAATTGTTAATTCTAATAAAACAGATTAAACACATTAAATTATAAAATCTCACATATAAAATTTTAGTTACACCTAGAAGAAGACTAATCTAAATACCCCTTTAAAATGTAATTGTTAAATGTGACTTTAACTAATGTATACATCATTCTCAATGGTTAAAAATTTAAATTTTTATATTTTTAATTTTTAATTTTACAACTTTTTTTTTTGAACATTTTGATAAAGAACGGGTTCGAAACCCATCCAGGATATGGGAGAATGCATCGGTTGACTGACAAATGCCAGTGGAACTCTAGGTCAGGTGCTAAATTTTACAACTTTAATAAGTAAAAAAACTTAAAATATATATATATTTCTAAATGAAAAAAAAAATTATGCAATCTAAACCACGAGTGGCACTAGAAAGATTTATCTCATTCAACTGTCCCAATTTTGTACTCTGCTGCTGCCAATTGAAATAAAAAATTGGCCCCTACTGGGGAATTTTTTTCCCCTAATTGAATCTCATTTAACAGTCCCAATTTTGTACTCTGCTGCTGCCAATTGAAATAAAAAACTGGCCCCTACTTGGGAAATTTTTTTTCACCCAATTCAGTATGGGTTTACCAGGAGTCAAGGCCAGACAAAATGAAACGACACCGTTTTGTCATAAACAAATAATGTTCTTGTTGGTTCTAACCCTTCTCTTCTCTGTCTTCTTAACCTCAGCTTCCTGCTAAGATCCTCTGTTTAGTTGGAGCCATCACAATTCACAGATGAAAAAAACAAAAAGAGAAAAAGGAAAGCAACTGTTTGGGGAGAGAGAAATGGGAGGAAAATACAGGTCAAGTTTTTCTTTTTGACGGATTTTCCGAACTGGAATAAGAGGTAAAGTTATGTCACATGAAATGAGAAGAGAGAGAAGAAGTTAAGGGTGTCCCATGCAACAACAAAACATAATCTCTGCTTAAAATCACAACTCTCGCGCTCTCTCTAGGAAAAAGCCATTTTTCTTTCAGTGCTCTCTCAAGGTAGAATAAATCCAACACTAAACACAAATCACACCCCAAGACAGACCCACAAAAGTTCAAACCATTCTGCTCCGAATTCAACTTCGATTTCATCGAGTTTGAACCTGTTCTGCTCTCCTTCAGGCTTTTACTTTTTCTGGGTATCCTCCATTTTCCATTAGTTTTAGTGTTTGGGAGTAGGGGAGTGGAAGGGAGAGAGAGGCGTGATGGAGCGGGTGATGGTACAGGAGGGACCTACTGCTGGATTTTTGGCGGGCAGAAACGGTCACCATCAATGATTTTCCTTGGCTGGTGGTTGTGGTTCTCTCAATGTCCCATCTAATCGCACACACTTGCTTATTGCTAGCTAGCTAGAAAGAGTGATTGTGTGTGGGGGAGAGAGATCTTCATAAAATACCACCCTTTACTGTTCAAGCTTTTCTGGGTAGCCTCCATTCTCTTTTTGTTTGTGTTTGATCGAATCCAAAAGAGGGGTTTGGTTGGTGTTGCCCTTTGGCAGCAGCAGCAAGGTTGGAAAGAGCATTCCTTTAAGGTCCTTGGGTTGAAGAGGAAATTGCAGATCTCATTCATATGAGGAGATATTCAACTGTGAGTTGTTTGATCATTGCTTTTCCTGTTTTTTATTTTGTCCCTTTGCCTTTTAATTTCCAGTTTCTCTGTTTAAACTTAATTTGTTGCTATTTTTCTGCTAAGCAACAACACCTGGTGTTTGAACAGGATTTGAACTAAATACCCAAAATGCATGAGGAAGTGCCAATTTGGCTCATCTAAATTGTTTCTCACATTTTATGAAATTGACTAAGAAAATTTATGGGATCTGAATAGCTGAAGCTGGTTGCCTTCTACTTTTGTGAGAGCTTTAGGTGGGAGAACTGAATCTTGAGTAACTTAAGTACTCCATTCCCTTTGTATCGTTTGCTCCTTCTCTTTGCATGTTCTCCTTTGGCCAAACTGTAACTTAACTGATCAGCTTTTCCATCCATAAGCTGGTTATGTGGCATGAAATCTGTGAGATTCACCGTTGTCCATGACCTAACTGATAAAGCTACCCACTTGCTAGTTGCTACTTTTATTTGTTTTAGGATTTGCAATTTCTGGTTCATTTGATTAAATTGTAATTTTTGGTAGTTGTTTCTCTTTAATTTGATTCTCAGTGTGGGATGGTCAATCAAGAATCAGAGGAGATGAAAACCCGAATCTAATTTGATTTAGATCTTACACTTCTGGTGCTGTTAGTGATATATTTTAGAACATTTCTTTTCAGCTAGTATACGTGCTGCTGCTACTTGCATTTTTCAGTAGTGCCCCATGGTCTGTCCAGGGCAGCTCACAATGCAAGCAGATCAATTCAGGGGAGATTCGGCCTCACAGTGTCACTATTACCGAATTTGGCGCAGTTGGGGACGGTGTCACTCTGAATACAAAAGCGTTTCAGAATGCCATCTTCTATCTAAATTCATTTGCTGACAAGGGTGGGGCCAAGCTTTTTGTTCCTGCTGGGCGGTGGTTAACTGGAAGCTTCGATCTCATCAGTCACCTAACTTTATGGTTAGATAAGGATGCAGTAATTCTTGGATCAACAGTAAGCACCCTTTTTCTCATAAAACCTCATTTGTGTATGGTGCAGGTGCAGAATGCTTATTGCAATTAAGTTTCTTGATCTCTCCCTTTTCCCATTGACTTCTTTGCGATCAAGTCATGGCTAATTTTTATTTTTACCAAAGAAGTTACGGCTAAAAACATAGTATACAGGAGGTTAAGTTGCTTTGCATGGCTGAATGTAATGGATATCCATGCTGGAGGATTTGCATTTGCCTATTTGTAAGCACATGGGATTAAAGTACTGTTTGTGCAGTTGCTTTATCAAATCTTGAAATGGTTTGATGCCTTGGGCTTAACTTGGCATTGCTGTTGTAATCTCATAACCATAGGTATTTCATCTTAACTCATATCACTAATATATCTAGCATTGTTTCAGAATTCTGGTGATTGGCCAGTTGTTGATCCTCTGCCATCATATGGCCGAGGTAGGGAATTACCAGGTGGAAGGCATCGAAGCCTCATATATGGACAGAATTTGACAGATGTTGTCATAACAGGTTCGTAACATTTAGTGAAGAATCATCTTGCTTTTGCACTTTTTCCCTTTTGGCTTGATGGCATTGATTCTCCATGCAGGTGATAATGGAACAATTGATGGCCAGGGCAGCATCTGGTGGAACTGGTTCAGAAGTAAAACCCTGGACTATACTCGGCCCCATCTGGTTGAATTGATGAACTCAACAGGGGTAGTAATCTCAAACCTAACCTTCTTGAATTCACCATTTTGGACAATCCACCCAGTCTACTGCAGGTTTGTTCTTTCCAGAACAATGAAAATGAATTCTCTTGTTTGTTGGAGTTGAGTTAATTTTCATTACCATGTTAAAACTGTCAAAAGTGAAAGCATTTATGAATTAGGGGGAGAGTTGAGACTCTTTTTCTGGATGAACAGCCATGTTATTATCCAGAATGTCACAATCCTGGCTCCTCTAGATTCACCAAACACAGATGGGATTGATCCAGGTGAGCTTTGTTCATTGCTGGAATATTCTTAGACTTTGTGATTAGTGAACGATAAGTATTTTTATTGAAAGAATCAATTCTTAATCTCCATTTCTCCGATTTTCCAATTTACTTATAATTATTCTTACCATTTTTCAAATGCATCCAGATTCTTCAGAAGATATTTGCATTGAGAACTGTTATATTAGCACTGGTGATGATCTAATTGCCATCAAAAGTGGGTGGGATGAGTATGGAGTTTTCTTTGGTCGTCCCAGCAGAAACATTACCATCCACAAGCTCACTGGACACAATCTATTTGGCTCTGGTATTGCCATTGGAAGTGAGATGTCTGGAGGTGTGTCTGAAGTTCATGCAGAAAACATCTATTTTTTTAATTCAAGCACTGCTATCATAATAAAGACAGCTCCTGGAAGGGGTGGTTATGTGAGAAATATCTACATATCAGACGTCACCTTGTCTAGCGTAGACACAGCTATAAGGTTTAATAGTAATTTTTCTGAGCATCCAGATGACCATTATAACCGAAGTGCTCTGCCCATCATAGAAAGGATTACAGTTAAAGATGTCAGAGGAGATAACATAAAAGTTGCAGGCCTCCTTGAAGGTATAGAAGGGGACAGTTTTCTCAGTGTTTGCATATTGAATGTTACCCTCAAAGTAACCTCAGAGTCTCCATGGAACTGCTCATATGTTCAAGGATATTCTGACTCAGTTTCTCCAAAACTGTGTAAAGCTCTGGAGGAAAGACCGCCGGATGTTTCAGATTGTTACAAATACAATCTATCAAATTATTTTTGGAACTCAAGAATTCGAAAGAGAAATTCTTGGTTGCATTCTTGGTAAATAATGGGTCACAATGTTTGCTTTGTGTCTCCTTCTTTCATGAAGTTTCAATTTTAGATGGAATTTTGATTCTTGCCATTTCTCAACACAACTGCAGATCACATTGCTGAGAGAATGATGCCCGGCATAAGAGGTTGAGACTTGAGAGGAATAGCGTAAACATGGTTGTTGACTTGTGAGTCAGTACTGGGTAATGATTGTTTCTTGTGATTTTGTGTGCAGAGGCAAATAATTGAGTGATTTGTCGAAGAAATGAAAATAGAATGAGCTTATTTCTTTGAAATAACTCAAGTCAAGTTTTTTCCTCCTTGATTTATACTGAAATTTCAATATATGAAAAATGTTAAATTATGTTATAGGGAGTAGAATTGTGTGTAATTGCTTGAGGTTGTGTGCAGCTTTGAGATTTTTTTTTTTTTTTTGGCCTTGAGCTTTGAGGTTGTCTATTAAGGGCTTTTTCCTGGAAGGTTGCATCTATTGAATGAAAGGTGGAGGCAATTTCCGTTCTTTGGAAGGGTGTGTCGTTTAGGCTGTTAATTTCTGTACCATATTGTTTATTGCTTTGTGAAAAAAGTATCTTCCCATGTTTCTATCCTTCAAGGTTTGTTGTGTATTGTCCAATCTGAACAGCATTGATTTATATAGATACTGTAAAAATTAATGTCATACATGTCCAAAACCAATCAATCTTCTCAAAGGCTGAGAAACAAGGAAAATTTCTATCTGGGGGATGCCTCAGTGCCATCCTTTTTTATAACGGAACACAAGACCTGTCTTGATATGTATGTCTCAAGCTCCCGGGAAACCTCTGTTAACTTCAAGTCAAAATTGCTTCTGTATTTCTGCTTTGGTGATGGCACAACGCTAGAGAACATGGTTGGAGAGCCAGAAAATCGCCTTCTAGGGCTCGTTAATCCTGGTGATACTGGAAGCCTTCCTTTGGAAATGAGAGGCGTGGAGGCTGGTCCCAGATTAGCCACGTTCTTATCTAGGTTCCCCTGTGGTCCACGTTTTGTCTCCAATGGCAGTGGCTTCAAAGAATCAAGTTCCCCAACATGTTTCTGTTTCACCAGCCTTTCCCTTGCCTTCTCAGCCGCTAGAAGAGCTTTCTCACTGCTCAGCTTTATCAGTTTCCATGGATCAATGCTTACATGGAAGCCTTGTTTCTTGTTAGCTAAGCTTTCTCTCTGCTCAACTTCAGGATCTTTGTCGATCCTTATGGACAACCTCGAGGGATTCTGATTTACCCTCTGACCACTGCATATAAACCTTGACATAACTGTTGGTTTCTCAGGTGAATCAAAATCGGTGCTTTCATCTGATGAACTGTCTGAATCATCAAAAGCGTTCTCTTCTCTCATTGCCAGTATATAATCATATGTCCTCATTCCCTGTAACAATCATCAAGAACATCATAATTTACATTATAAGCTGCTAAACTCACACACACATACAGAGATCCAAGAACAAAACCAAGTGACATACTTACCTTCCTTATAAGAACTACATGAAAGAAGAAAAGCTGTCCCATTGCTGCTGAACCATAAGCAGTCAATAAAACCAACAGAATCTATAAAAATTGGCAAGAAAAGAACGATGATCAGTATTTTCATTAATTTCAATAAAGTGTTTCCAACAGTGAAAAAGATAAGCAACCATACCGATATTGTGGCAAGAACAGCACGTGGGAAATCTACATATAGCCTTTTCTTGAGTTCCTGCTCTACTCCTTTCTTATCTGCGAAGCACCTGATAAATATAGCAATGGCAGTCCCTCCTTCAATAATTAGCTGCAATGTTAAAAATTTGATTAGCAAGGTGAGCAAGAAATAAAGGAAAAAGTAGAATTTGTATATCGAAGAATTGTACTCACCATTAACAGCACAAAAACCATTAGAAGAATAAATGTTGTGTAATTCCTTTTTCCAACACAGTTGTTTAGCCACTGATTCAAACAAAAATGAAAATTATGCATTAATATATTAGTAATTGCATTCTCAAATAGGAGAAAACCCCTTAATCCTTACTCGGCAATGGTGGTCAAACCCTTCAACACATCGGTTACAAGTCCTACAGTGCTTGCTATGCCTTTTCACCTGAGATAAAGTAAAGGAAGTTTCTTTTTCACATTAGCATATACCCTTTAGTGCTATCTTTCATACAAGAAACCAAGAAGGAGCACCAGGGGCCAGGGCAAACCTCGAAATCACAAAGTGAGCAATAGGAGGTGTCATCCTCTTTGAGGTCAGGTGAAATTGCATCATCCTTCATGACAAGGGGAAATGGCAGTAATGGCTCCAATTGGACATTAGTCTTTAGAGGGTCTAGATACTTCCTCCTTATAAAAGTCCTAAGAATCTTCTTCTCCAGCCTCCTAAAAAGCCTAACAACAATCTGGCTCAATACAAACCCATAATTTAGCTTTAAAACCCCTTTAGATTTACCCCTTTTCTTCTTCCTAGAGCTGGTTTTATCCGAGGGATCGATGGCAGTACACCTAATGAATAGGAACATGACTGAAACTGCCTGAGATTAAAACCAAGAAAACCTTATAACTTGCCTGAGCTTCAAACTGATAAAGTAAGAAAATGGGTACAATCAAATTGCTGCTTTTAAGACATTACCACAAAGGAAAAGATGGAAGTGAGTGAGATTTCTGCAATTCTATTTCCGAGCAAAGGGCCCAGGAATGTATAAAAGACCACAACCAGAAAACCGTACACTGCCATTCCCACCATCTGAAATCCAAGAATGAAAACAGATTGACTCGAGTCCTTTTCAGTCAAAATTGAAAGATTTTAAAAAAGGATATTCACAAATTCAGCTCAATTCAAGCTCAGAAACAGTAATTTTCACATAATTCCAACGCAGAATCATAACTTTACAAATCAAAGTTGGAAGTAGAACATTTCAAATTGCGCACAAATGAATTTTACCTGTAAAGGGTGGAGAGGGCGCTGCCAGCCATGGCGTCTAGCAAATCTCATTTGGTTAAAGTTTGAAGCTTTTGAAGTTCAAACAAACAGAGGTCTCTTGGGTATTGAATGGAGTTAGCCGATATCCATGAAATGTTATTCGGAGCAAAAGTGAGTCAAGATAGGTTCTCTCTTCTTTTTATTTTTAGATGACCAACGGTCGAATTTTTTGCAGTTTTGAAATTTGAACGGCGGCATTTTGTGCAGACCTGGCTGATCAGACGGTTGTTAGTTCATCATCACAGTTCTGAGCGTGAAAAGAGTCAAAAGACAAAAATCGGTGGGGCCGAAGGTCAATTGGGCCGCCACTTCTCCAAGTCCGTTGTTTTGTCTGCATTGGGTTTAGAACTTTGGGTTCTCTACGATGATTGATGGGCCGGTAACAACATAATTTAATGAAGGGTTTTTTTAATCTATGACATTAGAAAAATGTAATTATTATATATTTTTTATGTTAATTAATATTGAAAAAATTAAGTTAAATTTTTATTTAAATAATTATTTAATTAAAATAATTTATATGACATTAGCAATAAAATTAATGATAATTTTTATATTTTTTAATATTAATTAATGTTAAAAAAATATAATAGCTACACATTTAATGAAAAACCCTTCAATGAATCTAGGAACTTTCTAATACATAAGCTATAAGTTAAAAATGCATTTATTATATTTTTTTATTAATTAATGTTAAAAAAATATAATAGCTACA